CCTCCGGACACCCAGCCACCCCGGGGCACTGAGGCCTCAGCTTCCCCCTCGATGCTATTTCCTATCCGTCCTCCCCTACCGCCACCCGGCCGCGGTGCAGGGGAAACCAGGACTTATCAAGACAAAGAACAAAAGTCGTGGGGGAAAGAAGCCAAGAGCCATCTCTACTCTGGGGTAGGGCCCTTCAGTTTCGCCCCTTTGAAATTTCAAATTCCAGTTTGTGGACAAAGTCCTAACTATCTCACAATATAGGTCCCCAACTGCTGACCAAACTCCAGTCCAGGCAGCCACCTGGCCCGAGGCTCGCCTGGCCTCCCCTGCTGCCTTTGGCAGCTCCCGAGACCCAGGCAGGAGTCGCAGGGCAGCTGGGGTCTAACAGGCCCTCCCCGGGGCCCCAGCCAACCGCTGGGACCCCCGTCTTCCAACCGAGAGCAACGCTTCTGCCTGGAGCTGGGATCTGGAGCCTGCTGCTACCAATGGCAGGTAGGTGCTCTGCCATTTGGGTCTCAACTTCTTCTTGGGCTCCTGAACCCTTCTCCTACTGCCACAGCTTGACCCCATGATGACACACAGAACTTCAGAACCGGCTCCCTAACCAGCCCAGTTGGCGGATGGCAACGCTAAGGTCCTTAGCGAGTGGCAGCTGCTGCAGATTATCTTGTGGAGCTGGGCCTTGTATCTGGGCCCCTCACAGAGAGCCAGAGGGCAAGAGGGACTTTGTCCAGCCTGCTCAGTGCTGGTGGGAAGCTTGGTCTTTACAAGAAGGACCCCTCGGCCTCCCTCAGAAACCATGGGTGGCCATGTGTTTGTTCACTTGGAAGCGGATGGCCAGCGGATTGCCACAGGAGTATTTCCGAGAGGAAGATGAGGGAGCCGGGGCTGAAGGCCAGTGGGTTTGGAAGGAAACAACATTCATGTGGTTAACTGATAACTGGCCCCATCCCAGGGCCTCCACCGGCCTCCTTCCCCCCTCCCTGTCCTCAGCGTGATTAAGATGAACTTACCTGCCTGCTAATCATTGCTGAGCCTGTTGATTTTGCCTTAAAAAATTAACCGGGCATGAGTTTGCGGTTTGCCTCACCCCTAACCCTGAAAAGGCCGGGGTGAGCAGAAGGCCGCCCGGGTTATGCAAGAGGCCGCTGGCCTCCGCATGGACATCCAGCGGTCTCCTCTGCCGCCCTCCAAAGGGGAGGTTTTGCTCAAGTCAACAGTCTGCCTGGGCCCTGCTCTGCGTCCTGAGCAAATTTGTTCTGTTGCCAAAGAGAGATAAAGGCAGCGGGTGGGGGTGGGGGGAATCTTCCTAACGGGGATGCGAGGCTGGGGCTTGGCGTTCGGGACTGTAGAATCCTTGGAGCCAGGAGAACCTGAGGGAGGATGCCGGCCGGGGCTTTTCAATCCGGCCTCTGGAGGTCTCCGGAGCTCAGCTAGTGCATCAGGTGAAGGCCTCTAAGATGTGACCTCTTTTACTGTTTTCCCAAAACCACTGTCCAGCCTCATCACCTCAGGGTGTAGAAGGGGCGCTGGAGGCCAGAAGGAGAAAGGACTCATCCAAGGACATGGGTCACCCTGGGCATCCTGGTCTCCAGCTGGACAGGGCAATCGGCTCTCACTGATGGCCTCGGTGATGTATTGAAGGATGTCGGGGAGCAGAGGGCTCTGCAGATGCCCTTGCCTGCCATTTCCCTCTCCCTCCCAGGGCTGTGAGAGCTCCTGGAAGGCCCCAGTCAGGGGGCTTCACCTGGCCTTGTGTCCTGCAGCCCTCTGAACAGTGGGCCCAGCGGCATGAGCTGTGGACCACAGGCTCCATGTCATAGCCGGTTTTGGTCCTTCCCGTCTCCAGAGACATCAGGCCCTTGAGAAAGAGCAGAGCTCTGCCCTGACTCAGCCCTCTGAGCCTCAGTTTCTCTTGTAAACTGGGAATGATACTGACACCTCACTCCGGGGGTCGTCGCAAGAATGAAATGGAGACACACGCTGACAACCGTGGCCGACGTGCACCCAGCTCTCCGGAGGGCTGCCAGTGTGCTCCCGAGATCTCATGCTGCTCAGAGAGGAAGGCAGTGGTTGGATCAGCATTTCACAGACCACAGACGCAGAGAGTTTGAGTCATGTGCTCATAGAGACAGAAATGAGAAGTAGGACTCAAATCCCAGCTGGCTCCATAATCTACGCTCCTAAGCCAAGGCCACGCTGCCCTGCAGGGCTGCACACAGTAACCCTGAAAGATGGCCGCCAGTCAAGAGCCATGGACGCTGCTCTGGCCAGAGAGCAGGGCATTGTGGGAGATGTTGACCCCCAGGCCCAAGAGATTAGGTAGAGAGGGTGATCTGGAGAGGGATCAGGAAGGGGCCCAGGAGAACTCAGGCCTGTGTGGGTGGAGCATCCATCTGGGCTGCCTGCCTGCCACCAGGCGGCTTGTGACATCTGAGCGAGGGTGTCACTGTTCTCCTGTTGATGTTCCTGACCGTATCTGCTGGAGTGACCTTGGCAGTTGGATGGGGCCTGTTCTCATCTGCGGCGTAAGGGTGTGGGGAGCCCCTGCCTATTCCAAGCCCTACTGCTGGGTGTGAGGATTGAATCTACAACCTAGCCGTAACCCTCAATCTCCCTGCATCCTTGTTCTGAGGGGCTCTAGGGATTTGTCTGGAGGTCACCGAGGTGAAGTGTTTGAAAGTCCTAGGACTCAGGCCGGGGTCACTGTGTACAGTTATATAGGTTGCTCACTGCACAAATGTTTTCCAGCCACAAGGGCTGAGTGGGGGTGAAATCCAGCCCTAGTTCCAAAGCCCATGAGCTCTGCCTGCTGGGCAGGGGTGTTTTTTGCCTATTTACAGAAAAGTTGCACGTAAGTGACTGGGAGCCTTGGTCCCTCTCTGGTTCCAGCCACTGTCTAACCCTGGGCAAAGTCATTCCCCTCCCTCCCTTGATTTCTGCATAAAGCAGAGACGTAATCCAGGCAGTGGAACAGAATCACTTTGGATCTTTAAAAATACAGATGCTGGCCAGGTGGGTGCTGGTACACACCTATAATCCCAGCACTCTGAGAGGCTGAGGCAGGGGGATTTCAAGTTCCTTGGGCAACTTGGTGATTTAATGAGATCCTGTCTCAAATAAAAAAATAAAAACAGCTGGGGCTGTAGCTCAGTGGGAAGGTCCTGGGCTCAACCCCTAGTACCAAACACACAGACACACAAAAATAGAGACGCTTGGGCTTCGGGTGTAGCTTCGTGGTAGAGCACTTGCCTGCATGTGCAAGGCCCTGGGTTGGATCGCCAGCATGAGCAGGGGCACCAAAACACAACAGCAAAAAACTCAGGCCTCAGTGCAAACCAATCGCCAGATCTTGGGGTGGTGGGGGGTGGTGGTGGTGAGCGGTACAGTATTTTTTGAAATTCCCTGATGACTAGGAGGTACGGCCAACATTTGAGACCCTTCACGGGAGGACTTGAAATCCAGAGCTCGAGAGGCCTTGCTGCGGGGCCCCAAGTTTTCCAGCTTACTGTAACTTCCTAGCCGAAACTTCAGCGAGGCTCAGTTGCCCCATCTGTAAAATGGCACTGATGACAACCTTCCCCATAAGATCAGAACCTTCCTCATAAAATCAATGGGCAACATCTGCAATGCACATGGCACTGTAGCCAGCACGGAGATGGCTCCTGATTCTTGGAGCCAATGACTGGTGTCATTGCTACTGGCAAGGAGACACTGACTTAAAGGGCTTTCTCGGGTCAAGGATTCGGTGACACGGGGCCAGTTCCTGGAAGACAGGTGGCAACCTTGGCTGTGCATCTTTTGGATTATTAAATGTGTGGGGCCAGGTGTGGTGGCACACACCTGAGATCCCAGCACTCGAGAGGCTGAGGCAGGAGGATTGCCCTGAGTTGGAAGCCAGCTTGGACTGCATAGTGAGTTCAAGAATTCAAGGCCAGCCTGAACTACACAGTGAAATCCTGTCTCAAAATACCAAAAAGAAAAAAAAAAAGAGTTTGTGGGATTATTATCTGCTCTTTTACCAAATTTGCTAAACAGGCGCCTGTCGGGAAGCCTTGCTTCCCCACCTCCTGCCCACCTGCTCACCCCACACCCTTGTCATCGAAATTGTTTCTCCAGGCTCTCACGCACCTCCTAAGCTTTCTTGGAGACCGTTCGTGATGCCTCAGAAGCTCTAAGAGCACGTGTCAGCGTCCCTGCCTCTCATGGTGTTCCTCCGCTTGCTCCTTCTCACTTGCCAGAGATATCTCCGCAGCACCTGAGAGCAAGCTCTGGGTGACAGCTGAGGAAATGGGCTCCGAGGGGAATATGGTTTTCTCAGTAAGCCAAGTCCGCAGAGTTTGATCGGCTGTCCCTGGCTCCAGGGCAGCGTTTGACCCCGGCATTGACGTGCCCTTCCCAGAGCCTGGTCCAGGGAGCTCTGCAGCCAGGCCTGAGTCTCTCCAGTGCAGGCCCGGCCTTCCTCGGCAAGAGGACACGTGGGTGGGGTGGGCTGTCGGGAGGCCCCCTGTGTCTGGGCACTGACACCCCAAAGAGAGGCAGAAGTGAGGAACAAGTCATTGAAATAGGGGCCCAGGGAACAGGCCCTGGGGAGCAGGTTCCACGGGGAACCCTTCCTGGAGGGGATTTAAAAATTGAGACAGAGGCAGCAACAAGATTTTAACCAGTTTCTGCTCAGGCACCCTTGGGGGTCCCTCTGGACTCTCAACCTGCTTCCGTTCACTGACTTTGGGCAAGTCACCTGCTCACCCTTGCCTCAGTTTCCCCAGGTGCAAAATGATTAGACAGCTGCTCTTTGGCAGCCTTGGAGTACCCTTGAAGGAGTCTGTGGGGGCACCCCTCATTTTACTGAGAGGGGGTCTGGATCCTGTTTTGACCAGGACATAATTCACCCATCAGAGCCCTCGTACTTCCTGGGTTGGGGCTGGGATGAATTGCTCCCCTGGGTTCTGGCTCCCCCGCCACCCCGTGCTTCCTTCCCTCGTGCAGATGTGGAGCCAGGGCCCTACCTGGTGGTTCCTGGGGGAAGCCCTGGCCCCCGTCCGACATCCTTCTCCCGGTGCTACGGGGCCCCGCACACGGGGCGGCCTCTTCATCCTGGAGCCAGCTCCTCTTGCCACCCTGGCACTCAAGACCCTGCGAGGGCTGCTGGGCAGTTAATCCCTTAATGCTGGTCACAATGGGATTTCGGAGGTGGTGGGAGGTGGTCTCCATGGAAACTACAGCCCTGCCCAGGACCCATGCAAGGACTTAGCCATAGCCACAGGGCTCAGCTGGGGCTCCCGGAGACCCAACCCGGCTGCCCGCTGACTCCAGGTCCTCCTGCTGAGCTTGCGGGCGGCAGTCACAGGGCCTGGTCCTGTCCCCTTCTGAGCTCATGTGGTTCATTCTCCATGTGTGGGGCCCGTCCTCTGCCCAGCAGCTTTGCTAGAAGAGTGCAAGCTTCGGCGTCCACCAGACCTAAATGTGAATCTTGGCTTTCCCTTCTCCAACCACCCCAGGCCCAGCATTTCACCTCTCTGAACCTCAGTTTCCCCACCTGGAGGATGGGCACAGGAATGTCACTTGGCCCAGCTCGGGTGTGTCTGCTGGGCGGTGACACTCAGCAAACCCCTCAGCCACGCCGCACACCCCTCCCTGGCCACCTGCAGCACCCCTGGTCCTGCGCTTGTCTCTAGCAGAGCTGTTCCCCTCCCTCCAAGGCCCAGCTCGTCATCTTCCTCTGTCCACCCACAGCCCCCAGAGCTCCATAGCACCCAAAGGAGATGACTTCCCCTCTGGACTGTGTCCCACTGATCCTGCTACGCTCAGGTCCCAGCTGGCACTTAGTGTAAATGCACTGGCTGAATACATGAGCGAATGAACGAAGGAATCTGTCCCTCCAAGCATTTCCCATTTGTTCACCCGCTCCCGTCGGCATCATTTTGGGTGCTGATTTGCAGCAATAAAGACAGTGGGCAAGACCCCTCCCTCCCAGCACTGTAAGCCTGCAAATCAGACACAGGCTGAGCTGGGCATGGTACAGCAGGCCTGGAATCCTATCACTCTGGGAAGCTGAGGCAGGAGCATCCCCAGTTTAAACTCGGCCTGGTCGATTTAGCAACTCAGCCAGACTCTTAACTCAAAATAAAAAATTTTTTAAAAGCCTGGAGATGTAGCTCAGTGTGAAGGCCCTGGGTTCAATCTCCAGTACTGGGGGCGGGGGTAGGAGCCCCACAGACAGTTAAATTGGACCTTCGGATAACCAGTGACTGATAAATATGTCTCTAACAATGTATGGGATACACTTAAAAAGTTTGTGCTTTATCTCACATCAAATGGATCCGAGAGGTCTGAACTGTACCTGACAACGATTCCTTTGCTCATCTGGCTTGTATTTTGGCGGGAAGGTGAGGCAAAGCAGGCAATGAGCGAGTTCAGAAAAACAAGTAAATTTTAAGGACCGATTCAGAAACTAGGAAAGAGAGCGGCGTGGCGGCAGAGGGACAGGCAGGGGGCGTCTTCAGACGGGTGATCGGAGCTGGTGGCCCTGGCTGCAGTTTTAGGCCCACTGGGGCGCTGCCCTGGAAAGGTTCTTAGAGGCGGGGTCGGCCCCATCCCGGGGACTGTGAGCCGAGGAGGGGCTGCGCGCTGGGCTGTGGGCTTCGCACACCTCCGCGAACCCGCAGCCCCACCCCTGGGACCATCCAATGTCCTCTGTGGGGCGGGGAGCCAAAGGAAGGGGCCAAAGGAGCTGTGAAGAGAAGCGTGATAACCTGGCCGGAGCCGGGAGCCCTGATACACTTTCCCCTACCCCAGCCATGTGCCTGCGCCACGGATGCAAGGGCCGGAGGACTGCGGGGAGGAAGTGGTCCCTGACTCTCGAGACCGCGCTTTGCGCTTCTCGCGCTCCCTCTCGTGGCCAATTCGGGTACTAGCGCTCAGAAACTTGCAGACAGCTACACGACCTCCACCAATCAGAGCGGAGGCCGCGCTACAATCCCACCAATCACAGACCCAAACGCACTAAGTCACTCCAATTCCCGCCGAATCCCTCTGGCGCTATAATCACCAATCAGAACGCACGATTTAAAAACCAGTTTCCAGGCCTTCTCAGCCCTTTGGTTTCTATGAAACCTCAGCTGCCAACATCCGGTGTCCACACGCAGGCGCCCTGGAGGAGGGTCCCAGGCTTTGTACACTGGGAAGCCCACGCTTGCACGCAGGGGCATTGGTAAAAATATTACCATCATTGAATACCACCCTTCCCCATTATGAAAGTCAATGTATGGGTGGGGGGAGCGTGGCAAAAGTGTGACCTCCGGAGAGACACAGGACGCTTTGTGCAGTAGGACGAGGCCCGGAGGTTAAAAGAATAGTAGTATCGTCCACCTGTCATAACCGGCAGCATCTCAATTACCCAGGCCCAAGTCCTGGGAGTCACTATCTTTGTGTCCTCCCTCCAGTCCCACCCAAGCCATCAGAAAACCCAGCGCTTCTCACCTCCAACGGTGGTGAGCTTGAATTTTCATCTTTCTATCTCCACCACCTGCATCATCTCCGAAGTGGGCTAAAGGCTCTTCCCTTCCCTTCCCTTCCCTTCCCTTCCCTTCCCTTTCCTTACCCTCCACTCCACCAGGTGGCCTCGTACAAGCATGCGTAGAACTGGATCCCCCTCCTATTTAAACTTTTATGATTTCCTGTGCACTCATAATACAGCTGAAACTCTGTCGCTCCCTGAGGCAGAGGACAGCCGCCTCGCTGCGTATCCCCGTCTCAGAGCTCATTTCATCCCACTTGCCCCCCTCTAGGGCAGCCCCCCGCCCCCACCCCCGCTCCACCCTGCCTGGAATATGGCTTCCTGGTTTTTTGCGTAGCTGTCAAAAAAAGATCCTTCAGACTGGGATTTAATTGTCCTTCTCTGGAAGGGCTTTCCTACATGATTATCTAGGTTCTCTGCATCCCTGAGCCCTTTATTCATTGTCTCTCTCTCTCTCTCTCTCAACTCATTTTTCGAAAAAGTTATCCCTAGTTAGTGAACCATCAGTATCCTAAGTAGAAGATAATGGGAAAATTAACAGAATGAAACAAACCCAGTTGTAGTATATTCTGATTCAATACCGTTTGCTTGCTAAAGTTTCTGGGCAAACTTTGGTTGAAAAGCAAAGACCGCAGGGCATGGTGGAGCACGTCTGTAATCCCAGCACTTGGGAGGCTGAGGCAGGAGGATCATTGAGAGTTCCAGACCAGCCTGGGCTACAAAATGAGATCATGGCCAGCCTGAACTGCACAACGAGACCCTGTCTCAAAAAAAGAAAAGAAAAGAAAAGACAAGACCACAAAAAGATACCAGAAATGTTTGTGAACAGCCCAGTGTTGAGGCTGAGGATACAAATTCCAGAAACTGACCTCCTGGGTTTGAGTTGTGGTTTTGCCATGGACTAGCTGTGTGGCCCTGAAAAAGTTATTTAACTGCATTGATTCTGTTTTCTTTATCTTTCTTTTCTTTTTTGGGGGGTGCTGAGGTTCAAATCCAGGATCTTATGCACACTAAGTATATGCGTGCTCTCCGAGCCACACTGCCAACCCTGTGTCCGTTTTGTTCTCTGAAAAATAGGGATGCAAAGAGCGTGTGTCATTGGGTGGTTGTGGGAACTATTGGTGTTTGTGCCTCTAAGAGGCTTAGAACTGCGCCTGGCATGTGGAGAGCTCCGGGGGGTGTTAGCTGTACAAGAGCAGGATGCAGACCCCAACAACTTTGGAGAAGCGTTTGAACTCAGTGCAAAGGAAGAAACACTCCTCCACGTTGGTGAGACTAAATCACCTGGGTGGTGTGGATGAGGAGGCTACCCTAGGAGCAGGTGATGCGACAAAGTCCTGGAGGTTGTACTGGGCGCAGCCGCTCACACCCAGTCTCGTGTCATCAGTGAGAACACAGAGCTCAGGCTGTGTGTGGACAACTGCACATGGTTCTGATTTTAATGGGGATGCTTAAATTCTCCTAGCAAGGGAAAAGGTGAGAAAACTACGTACTCTGAAGAATAACTGAAGAGCCGAAGGAAGTTTGAGCTGGGTACTGGGGGAGAGGAGAGAGCCTTTGGAGTGCAGCGGTCAGGGCACAGCCTTTGAAATATATGAATGTGCCTTTTATGTAGCTGTTTGACCTTGTGAAAGTTACAAGCTCCTCAAGCCTTATTTGCTTCATTTACAAGATAGGAATCAATAATAAGGCTTCTTTATTGATTGCTCTGCAGAACAAACGTGATAAACCATATACACCTGGCAGGTAGCTGCCCAGCATGTAGTTATGTTGTTTACTGAATTCAAAGTGCTATTCCCTGGAAAAGAAGCCTGCTGATTCCTACAGCCCCAGAAAATGAGCCAGGACTGGCAGAGAGATGGAGAAACCAAGCAAAGCTCAGAATCACCTGTCAGGGAGGTTAGGGAAAGAATCCAACAACAAACAAAGCAGCATTTCCCCAGGATAAAAGTTCTAAATAAAATGCTACAAAAACCAAATCCACATCAAGAATATTGCATGTCCACATGCGGAAGAATGGATTTGGACTCTTTCATTACATTATTATATAAAAATTAACCAAAAATGGATGTAAAACCTAAACCCATTAAAATATGGGGGCAAAGTTTCACGACATTGGACTTGGTAACAATTTCTTGGATATGGCACCAAAAGCACAGGCCACAAAAGAAAAGATAGAAATTGGACTACATCAAAATATAAAACTTTTAGCTAGACGTGGTGGCACACACCTGTAATCCCAGCACTCGGAAGGCTGAGGCAGGAAAATCATTGCTAGTTCGAGACCAGCCTGGGCTACAAAGTAAGCTCAAGTTCAGCCTAAACTGCATAGGGAGATCCTGTCTCAAAAAATATATATATAAAACTTTTGTTCACCAAAGGGCACTATCAACAGTGTCCTCCCACAGAAAGGAACAAAAATATTCATAAATCATATATCTGAAAAGAGGTTACTATACAGAATATATAAACACCTACAATTTAATAACAAAATAAACAATTTAAAAATGGGCAAAGGATCCAAACAGACATTTCTTTAAAGAAATTATACAGATGACCAGTAAACACCTGAAGATGCTTAACATCACCAACCATTAGGAAAATGCAGATCAAAACACAGAGACACCCTTTCAACTCATTCACATGGATGCTGTAAAACAGTAGAATAGAGAATGACAGGTGTTGGGCTGGGGATTTAGCTCAGAGGCACAGCGCCTGCCTGGCAAGCACGAGGTCATGAGTTTGATCCCTGGTACCGGGGTGGGGATGGGGAGAGAGAATGACAGGTGTTGCCATGGAGGTGGCTAGGCAGGAAAGGAGTCTGTGTGCACTGCTGTTGGGAATATAAAATAGTGCGGCCTCTGTGGAAAGCAGTGGTGGTTCTTCAAAAAAAAGAATTAAAAATAGTAGTGTGATCCAATAATTCCACTCCGGCTTGTATGCCCAAAAGAACAGAGAACGAGTCTGCTATGAACATGGGCCCTCCTGTTCATAGCACGATCATTCTCAATAGTCAACAGGGAGAAGCAACCCAAGTATCCCACAAAGGGCAAAGAGATAAATAGAATGTGGTCTATCCACACAGATGGAATATTATTTGGCCTTAAATAAGAAGGGAATTCTGACACATGACCACACACATGAATTTCCAGTACATTATGCTAAGGGAAATAAACTGGTCATAAAAGGACAAACACTGTGTGATCCCACTGGTGTGAGGCGGGGTTGCTGAATTCATTCATGTGACCCTGGACAGGCACATTTGTAGAGGTAGAAAGTAGAAGGGTGGTTACTCCCCTCCTGAGGGAGGCAGCACTGGGGAATTCATCTCTAAGAGGGTTGGCTTCACTACAGGAAGAGGAAAAGCACTGAGGAGAAGGACGGTGAGGCTGTCAATGTGAATCTACTGAGTGCCTCTGGATTGTATATTCTAAAAGTGGTTAAAATGGTCAATTCTGTTATGTGTGTTTTACCACAATTTTTAAAAATTTCAACATTGTCTGAGATGCATATACTGCATGATGACCAATTTAGTTTTATTCCAGGAAAGCAAGGATGGTTTAACACCATAAAATCTATGAATACATTAGAAGACTAAAGGAGGAAAATTGTGATCATCTCAGTAGATGCACAAAAAGCAGTGAAGACAGTTTGGTATTAATTATGATTAACAAAGGAACAAACAAGGCAAGCATGGTGGTGTACATCTATAATCCTGGTGCTTGTGAAGCTGAGGCAGAAGGGTCACTGTGACTTCA